TTCAAATGTTATTTTAAAACAAGTTCAGGGCCTTAGGGTTTTTGCCAATCATATAAATCAATACTATCGCTACTAGACTTGACAAACAGGCTCGATTGGGTGGGTTCGATTAGGTCAGCTTGGATCTCGAGTTATTCGGATTGAATCATTTCGGATATCAGATTAAGAAGGTTGATCCATGACCCACCCACACGAGTCTCGGATTGGGTTGGATGAACCCAACTTTTAAAAAATTAAAATTAAAATCAACAAAATCTAATATTAATTAACTATTTAATTAGAAAAACTTTATTACTAATTAACTATTTAGTTAGAAAACTTATTAAATGTTAATTTCCATTTCATAATTCAATTTTTTTCCAATATCAAGAGAAGAAAAGGAAAAGATTAGTGATTATATAGGTAGAACTAAAATATATATCAAAGATATAATACTTATACAATATTTAGAATTCATAATTTCATAAAAGTATTACTTTTTATTAAAAGAAGAGACACGAAGGATTAGAGTTTAAAAGACAAATCCAATATATACATTAATATCTAGTACCTATTCAATATTTATAAGAGTATTATACAAAAAATACAACTTTATTCAATATTTAAGAAGGTATTATACAAAAAAATATAACCTTATTTAATATTAAAGTTTAAAAGGCAGATTTAAAATATGTCTAACCAAATATAAGAAAAACTTAGATCAGAATTGATTTTTATTAATTAGGAATAAATTATTAATTAAGAACAAATTAGCAACTAAAAATGGACTTTGATGTTCTTGATGTTCATGTTTTTGTCTTTGTACTTTTAATGGTTATAAGGATACCTTAATCGTTGATTTTGATTTTCAGTTGGCATTTTTGCTTTTTATTTTTAAAAAATAATTTATTTTATAATATTATATAACATAATTCATTATATGCTACCTAATTTAATTTTTTACGTGAGTGCCACCAAAGAAAAGGATTAGAGAGCTTAAGATAAAGAAGGGAAGAGCGAAAGGGGAGAAGAGGAAAAGTCCAGAGAAAGTGAAATTGATGAGAAATTAAGGTTTGAGTATTTTATTTATTTTTACTTTTTAA